ATCTTCTCACCATCTTCTGAGTAATCAAGTTGCAAGGAAGGAAGGAACTCTGTCTCATGCGCCACATCACACTCTGACTAGGGCTACTGAGAACCTTTTTTTAAAGGGCAAGGTCAGAGATTAAGCTGGGAATCATCAATTCATTGAGAATGAAATTACTCATCCAAAAGGGTTAGCCTTGGCAAAGGTTTCAACTGCTTAAAAAAGAGCGTGGGACAAAAAGTCTAAAAGACTAAAATTGTCAGGGTTTCATTTTGACTTTTTAAAATTGCAAACAAAACAAAACAAAAGTAATTAAAAAAAAATCCTGGATTTAGCTCAAATTTTAATTGAAAAATCAGAATGAATGCTAGTAAAGACATACTGAAGTGGTAAAAAGTCAAAATAAAGCAAGCAAAGACAATCTAAATGGAATGTTTGGATTTGCTCCATCTGTGGGGAGGGAGGGATTACAGCCCATGGAACGGGATATTGCCTTCTCCTCTCTGTTTGGGATGCTATTTTCTTCATATGGATCAGAACTGTTCCTGGCACAGGAAAACCATCTCCTGCCAAGTTCTGGGACTGAATATGTATCTTGTCCCTGCCGGTGGTGCTACCGTGGGCATTTTTAGCAGTAACAGAGTTCTGGCAGTGGCTAGTACGCACTGCTACAGTGAAAATAAAATAAAATAAAAATTAAAACAGCAACAAACATGGAAAACCCCAACAAACAGAAAAACCCAACAAAATGAGCTCCAAACCAGGAAAACTGCAAAGGTCAAATAACTCCCTTTAAGGTAGTGAGCTTGCTCCTTTCATGTATAAGATAACTATGAGAAAGTTGTACAGCCTTTAGACAATACATGACTTACAGTTTTGCAAGACCACAGCAAAACATTGACTATATCTATCAGATTTCATGGCATTTTATCATGTGAAGTAACCAATGATGCTAGAAACAGTGACCCCTCTGTATATGGTTTTACTGTGGTGTGAAAGTTAGATATGTTCAGGCCAACCACAGGCAGTGCAAGAGATACAGCTTATTCTACTTAATGTCTTCTTTTTCTTATGACCTAACTACTTGATATGCATTATAAAAAGATTTGTTCTAATGTAATAATTTAATAATGTATCAGTTTCCACATACAACTTAGTAAAAGGTTCCATTCTACAGTAATATTTTAGTTAGTGCTCTCGTGGTTTCTTTTTCTGATACTTTTTTTTTCACAGTAAGCACTATATATATATATATATATATATATGTATAAAAGGCAGTAAGTTCCAGCCCCCAGCAATGTCCCTAAAAAACGACCAGGTGCACTGTACTTGACATTTTAACTTCTATGCTACCCGTGGGAAACTTGTACAACTATTCCTTCATTGATTTCAATACATATTAACCCTTTCCTTTTTTTACCCAGTTTATCAGTCCACACTCTATCCCTATTTTCTTCAGCTCTCTCTAGGGCTCCTTTGCTGTTACTTTTGGTTTATATCTTCTGTATCTATGAGCAATCCCTATAATGTAAGACAAGAGTCACGATTTAATCCCCAGAGAGTTAAAAATATTGAGAAATGAAAGGTGCTGAAGTTTTATTATGTCAAAAAGTGTATAATCGCATTTGATTTTTTCCAAACCATGTCATTTCTCTTTGTCTTTTATTACAGTACCTCAAAGGTTATCAACACTCTATTTCTTTAGCTTGCTGCTACCCCTGCCTGAAAATATGTCCCCTAAGGGAAAATTTGCTCTCATTTCACAAAAGGAGAAGCAAGTGCACAACAGAAATCTGTGAGAGGTGTTCATTCAGCTCTACGCAGGGATTTGTATGATTTGCCACGTGATAGTTCAGCAGAACTTTCTATGCTGTCTGTGGCCCTGTTTATAAACCACAGCTTGCTTTCTGGGATGCTGTACTTTCCTTTAGAAAGCAAGTAGTTCCTCAAAAAGTAAACACTACCCAGAAGAAATAACAACAGCTTTGTATCATATCCTTCATTGGCTAGCCATATAATTTGGAATTGTCGTTCTGTAAGAGTCGAAACAATTGCTTCTTGCAATCCAGTGTTTTAAGAGGAATATTCAGGATTTGCTCTTTCTATTGTGTACCTGTAAATCTCGTACTTCCGCACAGAATTTCATCGCGGTTTGAAACAGTACTGAGGAAAAGGCATCTCTTTGTGGCACTTGGGGAACCTTGGGCTTTTTGTTCTGTAAATAGTTCAGTGAGGGTGTTCTCATTTTCAGCGGCTGATGATAACTTCCATGGTGATTGTAACTAAGCCAGCTACCGCAGGCAGAAGCAGAAGAGGAGCACTTGTACCATCCCTTGTTGTAACTCAGTGCTCACACGAGGAGCACTGTCAACAGATTTCAGGGGAGGGTAACCTTGGGCAGTGAGTACTGTGCAAAACTGTTGGGGTGAGCTGACCTGAAATCAGCCATGACCAGGAGTGAACAGCTATGGTCAGAAGGTCATGGCCTTTCCTGTGGCACATGTCTGCAGTGCTGAGCAGGACCCAAATACTGTAAAACTGAGCCTTTGGTAGGTGCCTAGTACTCTGACGGGGTGTTCAAGCAGGGTATTCAAGTAGTCAGATCCAGGTCCTTACTAAGGGGCTCTGCATATTTCTGTTAGTATAAAAGGGACTGAAAGCAGGTTAAATGCTAAATGGCCCCCCTGTCACAAAGTTCTTGATCAGAACTAAGCAGACCAAGCTCCACAACCTACACATTTCCCTTAACTTAACCAGTGTAGCTTTAGTTTATCTGTAGCCTGAATACGCAAGCACATAGGACTGCACACTGTGCTTAGGAGAACTGGGCCTGGATGTGAGTGCCAAACCCATTTGTTGCAACAGGCTGTTACAGAAATACTGACAGCCCTCTACAACAGCTTCAGCCCCCCCCCCAGGTACAAACCCATGCCCATGCTCTGTCCCCAAGTGTCCTCATGGTCTCTGCCTGGAGGTGGCCGCTGCTCGGAGCCTCTCCCTACAGCAAACATGCAAGGCAGTGATGCAAGCTGCAGGGGGAAGGACTCAAAAGTGAGCACAGCTGATAAGGTCTGTGTACTCAAGGGAGAGATCAGATTCCCTGATATTTAATAGCTCCGTGAGTAGGATACTCAACTAACATCTCGGGGAGACAGTTCAAACTCTTCTTCCTCTGATTTGGGCCAGTGATTTGACCTCAAATCACTGTCCTCAGGAGGCTTGCCCTAGCTGCTGTGCTATAGGGCAGTTTTTCCTGTGTCTCTTACCAAAGCTTTTCCAGTTTGGAAAAGACTGTGCATTCAATAACCACAGCTGCACGTTTCATACAGACATGTTTTAAAGCTTTTTGAAAAAAATTCAAGATGTAATATTTTGAAAAATGATACAAGTTCATGAGGAAAATCTGCACCAGTATCTAATGCATTCTCAGGTGATTTGAATCCCAACAACACCCCAAAAATATTTGGCTTCCAGTCCAATACTGAGGCAATACTCAGCTGTGAGTTTTGGATGAAAAGGAGTTTCCCTCCAGCCTAGAGGTAAGTTTGAATCACTTTTGGGAGCTTAGATCTGTCCCCACTCCTTGGCGTTGATGTTGTCTAGTTTAACACTTCTGGCTTCTGCACATCTTATTTTTTTTTACTGTGTATCGGTCCTCTGAAGGGGCCACTGGGTCTCACCTCAGCATGTCTCGAGGTGGCAGGCTGCAGGAGGAGGAGGCCAGCCTTCGTCTTGTGAATCTGCTCCTTCCCGTGTCACTTGTTTACAGCTGGCTGCCACTCCTTCTGATTGCACAAAGGGAATGTCTGCATGAAATGTAATCAGTGTTGCAATAAACACCGAACAATTGTTCACTTTTATTAAATGCCTTCTGTGTTTCTTCATGTTACCAAACATAGGACACCGCAGGAAAAAAAAAAAAAAAAAAAAAAAAGGAACAAAAAGTTATCAACTAGTATGTTCTTAAAATCTGAGGGCCAGTGTGTTATATGTTAGAAAAATCACATTACATCATTATATTTCTCCCTAATTGTCACACAGACTGTGCTGTGCAACCTTTTGCTTAGATTCTTTTTTTTTCTTTTTTTTTTCTTTTTTCTTTTTCCCAGTTTCTAGCTATCGCAAGTTGCATGTTGTAAGAAGTCCCACCTCCCCAAATTCAACATGCTGGGGAATAGAGTACCCCTAACTTCTCTGCATAAGTCCTCTTGGTCTTGCAGATGGGATTTTTATTTTTTATTTATTTATTTTGCCACAGAGACATCCACTTTTGGGACCTGAGATTTCACTGGAACATGCTTTAAAAACCCTAATGGTGTGGCGAAGGACAGGACCCCTTATCTTCTGCTTGTTTTGTGGCTTGCGTTGTGGATGTTGGGCACATCCATCACTCTTCTTTCACTTTCTGTTGCCACCTCCGTTACTTAGAAAGCTATGTTTACACCGCCAAGTAGACAAATAGACGTGAGAATTAAGTAAAACGCAGGGAGCAGCCGTTGGGGTGCCTGGTGTTAGGTGCTGAGCGAGCAGCCCTTGTGGCACCACGCCGTGTCCCCGGCCAGCCCATTTGCCCGTAACAACGCCGGAAACCATTGGCTCAGCCCAGCCAGGAGGAGGTGAGAGCCTCACAGACAATGTTAGGGCTCTTTCGCGACCCAAACGGCTCCGCGATTCTGTGAAGTTTCCCCAAGTTCAGGGCGGCGTGTGGGTGCTTTCTGCAAGTACGTTGGGGATGTGCCACTGCGCACAGCGGGGGGATCGGGGCTGTGAAGGGGCCCTGCGGGAGAGCAGCTCGGGACCAGCGGCCGGGGCTGCGGCCGCCTCTGCTCGGGGCTGTGCGGGGCGGCCACGTTGGGGCCTCCCCTCAGCGCGGGGCGGGCGCCAAGGGAACATGGCGGGGGGGGGGCGAGGGAGAAGAAGGGGGGAGGGGAAGGAGGGGGGAGAGGGCGCGCGCGCGCGTTGCCAGGCGACGGCGGCGCGCGGCGGGCGGGGAGGCGGCGCTGCCCGTTACGTGGTGACGTGCGGTTATATGAGCGCGAGCGGCGGGAGCGCGGGCCCTTTCCCCGCCAGCCGCCTCCGCGCGCCGCCGCCTCGCTGCTGCCGCCGCTGCCGCTCCCCGCCCGCACGGCCCGGCCCGGCCCGCGCAGGTACCGGCGGGGGGGGCGCGGCGAGGAGGATGAGGAGAGGAGGAGGGGGAGGAAGGAAGGAAGCGGGGGGGCAGCGCGCATGGCGCCGGGGGCCGCCGCCCGGCCTGGCGCTGCGGGCCTGGCTCCGCGCCGCCCTGCCCGCCGCCACCGGGGGGCCGCGGCCGCGCCTCAGCACGGAGCCGCCTGAGGCAGCGCCCCCGGCCCCGGCACGGACCCTCCGCGCCGCACCCGCACCGCCGGGGGGCTCCGCGGGCCCCTGAGACAGCGGGGGGGGAGCGCGGCTGCCGAGCGCCGCTGGGCCCCGGCGTGGTGCGGAGCTGCCTCTGCGCCTCGCCTGGAGCTTGTCTAGTAGCTTGTTAGTAGCTTGTTAGTAGCTTGTTAGTAGCTTGTTAGTAGCTTGTTAGTAGCTTGTTAGTAGCTTGTTAGTAGCTTGTTAGTAGCTTGTTAGTAGCTGTAGTAGCTGTTAGTTAGCTTGTTAGTAGCTTGTTAGTAGCTTGTTAGTAGCTTGTAGTAGCTTGTTAGTAGCTTGTTAGTAGCTTGTTAGTAGCTTGTTAGTAGCTTTGTTTATGTAGCTGTTAGTAGCTTGTTTAGTAGCTTGTAGTAGCTTGTTAGTAGCTGTTATAGCTTGTTAGTAGCTTGTTAGTAGCTTGTTAGTAGCTTTGTAGTAGCTTGTTAGTAGCTTGTTAGTAGCTTGTTAGTAGCTTGTTAGTAGTCTTGTTAGTAGCTTGTTAGTAGCTTGTTAGTAGCTTGTTAGTAGCTTGTTAGTAGCTTGTTAGTAGCTTGTTAGTAGCTTGTTAGTAGCTTGTTAGTAGCTTGTTAGTAGCTTTAGTAGCTTGTTAGTAGCTGTTAGTAGCTTGTTAGTAGCTTGTTAGTAGCTTGTTAGTAGCTTGTTAGTAGCTTGTTAGTATCTTGTTAGTAGCTTGTTAGTAGCTTGTTAGTAGCTTGTTAGTAGCTTGTTAGTAGCTTGTTAGTAGCTTGTTAGTAGCTTGTTAGTAGCTTGTTAGTAGCTTGTTAGTAGCTTGTTAGTAGCTTGTTAGTAGCTTGTTAGTAGCTTGTTAGTAGCTTGTTAGTAGCTTGTTAGTAGCTTGTTAAGTAGCTTGTTAGTAGCTTGTTAGTAGCTTGTTAGTAGCTTGTTAGTAGCTTGTTAGTAGCTTGTTAGTAGCTTGTTAGTAGCTTGTTAGTAGCTTGTTAGTAGCTTGTTAGTAGCTTGTTAGTAGCTTGTTAGTAGCTTGTTAGTAGCTTGTTAGTAGCTTGTTAGTAGCTTAGCTTGTTAGTAGCTTGTTAGTAGCTTGTTAGTAGCTTGTTAGTAGCTTGTTAGTAGCTTGTTAGTAGCTTGTTAGTAGCTTGTTAGTAGCTTGTTAGTAGCTTGTTAGTAGCTTGTTAGTAGCTTGTTAGCTTGTTAGTAGCTTGTTAGTAGCTTGTTAGTAGCTTGTTAGTAGCTTGTTAGTAGCTTGTTAGTAGCTTGTTAGTAGCTTGTTAGTAGCTTGTTAGTAGCTTGTGGATGCTAGTCTCCTGTAGGACCTCTCACTCTCCTGGTGCTTAGGGCTAACAGAATTTGAGGTTTATGTGCTATGAAACAGAGGTGATGTAGGTGCCTTAGTACCAGGCAATGGTTTAGGCTCCTGGGGCTTCAGGTACCTGAAGCATCCAGTACAAGGGCTTAGAGCAGGCCACTGACACTGGAACTGGTGTTTGCGTGGTCTGTGTACTGCTGTGCAAGAGGCATGTGCTAGCCATGTCCCTTCCTGCGTTCTGTGACAGGTCACGCATGTCACGTGTTCTAGTTCCTGGTGATTTATTTTATTTATTTGTGCATTTGCAGAATGAGAGCCTTATCCATGGGTCTTATACACAGGTGGTAGATCTGGTGCCTTTCAGAGCACCCATTCCTCTCCTAATGTTTATAAGACAGTGAAGTGCTGCATCCATGCAGGCAGCCCAGCATTAAAGCAAGTGCCCAAAGCACTTCTAGTGGTGTGTGTCTAGCCTGTACCTCACTCAGAAAACTGCTCCTGGGAGCAGGCAGGGGAGCTGTTATGGTTGTCACCTCACCAGGCGCCCTGAAATGGGTGCTCTGCTTTTTTCTCAGCTTCTTGCACACGTGCAGTGCTAGTTATGCACAAATGAAACCGAAAGCCAGGCAGTGTGGGTATGTATGTTATGAACCCTTTAAAGAGTTTTTGCAGCAGCTGAGACCGGAATCTTCCAGGCTGACATCATTTTCCTTAATGGAGTGACAGAACTGCAGATCTTCAAGGAAACTTTGGCTTACCCTGCTGTCAGTTGTGTTGGTGCATATCTGTTCATTTGCTTAGCTCCCAAAAGTTGAAGCAGTTGTACCAAGGAGAACTTAATTCAATGTGTCAGAGATCATATCCCTTCAGGGGAGTGAAATGGCTGGAGGATTTTAATTTCAGCAGTGAAAGATCTCAGGGGAAGCGAGACAAGCATCTATTTGAATTCTTGATGAAAACACTTGGTGAAAGCCCATTTGTTCCAGTAGGCCAACAGGTATAATAACCATGTGTGTCGCATCTGTTTGTGTCTGCTGGTATGGCTGTAACCCCGTTCGTCTGGGGTTCATCCATCATCATGGATCCTCTGACGCAGCTGCAAACATGGTGCATCTCAGACTGTCAGAGGTCTTGTTCTTCCTTCTTTGGGAAATTTGGGCAGATTGCAGAAAATTGAGATGTTTTTTAAATACTTGTTTGTTGTCCTGCACTTGTATATACACTCCATGGTGCAGCTTCAACCACGTCTTTTCTTTCCTTCCATGAATTGTTATCACTTGTATTTGTCTGGTACCAGTAGGCACTTGTAGAGAAGACACTACTTTGCAGACAGAAACAAGACTCCTTGGTGCCAGTTGTGTTTTACTACAACTGGGGTCTTCTGAGAGAGCAGCTGGCTGGGTGGCTGCCTTCCACCCAACTTCCCATTAGGAAACTGGTTGGTAAATAACAGGGCAGGACAGTCCTGTACAGGCGGCATTTAGTCTGAGGATTGGTTGTGTGATGATTAACCTGATGTTTATGGGTCAGCTTTCATTGGTAAATTACTTTGAGTGCAAAAGCGATTATAATAGAGTTAATTTAATCTATCTGGTCCTCGCTCTGCTCAGAGGCAAGAGCAGTTCTTCACCACCTAACTTTGTTAAAATGGAGAGCAGTTCTTGTGTCTTGTGGGCTCATCTCAAAAGCCAGGTGTGCCTGGAAGGTGTCAACAGCAGAGGTTGTTTGGGGGATTTGTTTGACCTTCTGAAAAATCAAGCTACTGTAAAAACAATGCATGATTATTTTCTAAGAACTTCCTACGCTCAACAAAACTAATGTAAAGGGGAAATTTAATTATCAGTATGGCTTCATGTATTCAGTGAAAGATTGCAGATGAATGCAGCTGAAACTGTAGCCTGCAACAATGAAAAAAACAACCTCAAACCTTTGTTAACTTACATTTGAAATGTTGTATGTAGTTTTATTTTTGTTCATTATTATTCATGTCAACGTATGAATAGTTTGAGCAACTTAGAGCAATTTCTTTTCCCTGAAGCTTAAACTTTTAAAATAATTTTCATTTTGACTATTTGTGATCTGTCTTCTCTGCTGTCAGAGGCTAGGATGGGTGATCTTGCTTAGCAGAGAAGATGGAAAACTGTTTAGATCTTAGTATTGGGGAAATACAGGAGGCATTTAGGAGGCTTAATGTACATATACACAGAAATAACTTACAGTGGTGATGTTCTGGATTAACTTGCAGTGACAAATGGGCAGTTGCACATCAGCTCTTTCACCTGGTCTTTGTTGACTCTCAGAAGAAATATGGCCAGCTTTCCTTAGTAGCTTTTCATGATCAAAATGTAAACCAAACTTTCTGGATCTGAAAACTTGGGTTTGTAGCTGTAGCTACACAGCATTCAGCTGTGGACTTACCATCTTCCACTTATATGGTTAGATGCTAGCATTAGTCTCATTTTTAAGTGCTGGAAATTCTGGTGAAGGGATTGGACTAAGCAGGTACTGGAAAGTCTGGTGTGGAGCAAGGACCCAGGCTGGAATCACAAGGACTCGTTGCAGTTTCTGACTACCTGTGGTAAAGTCAGTGCAGCCCACTGCTTTGTTCTTGGTGTTGGTAACTACCAAAAGCTCCAAAGTAGAGGCAGTTCTTCCACATTTCTCCTGGGACGGCTTGTCCTTGAGGGAAAGCTTTCTTTGCCAGCTCTAGTTTGAAAAGCTGTTTTAAGCATGGAGAGGTTAGGTTTTGGGGTGGGGTGGAGGGAAAAACAAACCACCCCCCTGCCAGTGATACTGTTTACATCCTAAACAGCGTTCAGTCTGTGCTTCTGAATTTCCTGATGCCTTCACTCCCTTGTGCCTACTGCTCATGGTTTGCTTCTCAAGTTCTGCTCATCACAGGTTGTGTTCAGGCGCTGGTGGAGCTGGGCCCTGAGCTCATCTGCCTCATCTCTGCCAGGGTTCAGCAGGGAATTCACGTCTTGTCTGCTTTTGTATGTTGAATAGAAGCGTTCAGTGGGCTCAATGCAATGACACCTGTGTCTTTGCAGAGCAATTTCTCAGTATTTTGGATTCTGAAGTCATTTGAATTGCTGCTTCTAATGTGTGTTACTTCAGATAGTAGTACAATTTACTTTGCCTAGGTCGTATCATCTTTTTTTAGGCAGACCAAACTGGTGAGATCTGCACGGCTTGGCCTCTTAGCTGTGGTATCACCTTCTTCGCTGTGAGGAATTTATTAGGTCCTTCTGCTGGTGCCAAAAGCACAACTGAGTGAAAGTCAGATGCAAAAGATAATTTTGTAAGTAAGCCTCACATTCCTTGGCTTTCTACAGGTGCACTCCAGAACAAAGGCCATGCTGTGTGTTAATTACTCTATTTTTAGACCAGGATCAGATCAGTGGCAGAGCCAAACATGCAGATATAGTTCAGTCCTGAATTTAAATTGCAATTCTATAGTCCATTTCCTTCTCTTTATGATGACTT